CCCCACTTCTGGGCCACTTCTCCATTTCGCCGGAGACGGTTAAGGTTCTGGCTCTCTCTGGTCTCTTTCTGCTTCCGGTTTATCTTTGCAAAATGCTTGTTTAGGGCATCGGCACTTTTGGCATCTGTGGTAGCCGTGCCTGTCGTCGGTTGCAACGGACGCAGATTTTTTACCTTTCCCGTGCAGGATAATGAGTCCATCAATCGCCATACCTTTTTGCCGTCTTTCAGGTCGAGTTTTCCCCACGAACTAACCCATTTTTCCTTTTTAGCCCTATCAACCTCCTTCCGGACCTCTGCCGTCCGTCTGTTGTAAGCCGCACGAGCAGCGGCCGTCTTCAGCTTACCGGCTTTGGTCCGGGCTCTCTTTCGTTCACGGACTATTTTTGCCAGCTTTTTATTCCAAAAAGGACGGAACTTGCGGTTCCCGTTTGTTCTCGGGATTGTTTGTTTTGCCACCGTGAGGATACCACTCACAAAGTCGTTATATGCATCATCAATGCTTTTGGATGTATTGGGTGTCTCAGTTGACTCCGCAATCATACGTTCTGTTCGCTCCTGGAACAGGGACCACTTGGCTTTGCCAAATAGCCAGTGTCTCCTAGCAAACCTAGGTCTTATGAGTGTAAGACAGATTCTAATGAGGGTAGGTTTGTGGTCACTGCCAATCTCATCTAGTACTTCACACTGGGTCTTCGCCTCGAGATCAGCAGAGACCAGTGTTATGTCGGGACGTGACAGAGCGCTATTGCCTGTGTGAAGCAGTGTAGGTTCACTGCCACCATTCTGCAGTCTGATGAGATTGGTCGTGAGCTCAACCTCCTCTAGGTAGCGCCCAGAGGCGTTAGTATCGGGATAGCCCATATCCCCCATATGGGCGTTAAAGTCTCCAGCTATAATTCTATCACTAAAGATGGTTGTGCCCTGCAGTGGCAGGCACAGAGTGTTTCTCGGAGTGTTGGAAATGTTGCTGATGGTAAAAGACTTACCACCTAAGACGACCCTCAGGGTCAGGGTATCTGTCCCACCAATGGTTTTGCTCTCCACAAGCTCCGCTGTGAGGTGGTTTTTCACGAGAGTTACCAAACCTCGGCACCTTACGCAGGTGCAGCGGTAGACCGAGAAGCCCGTAATGTGCAATGGGTGCTTCTTCAGTAGGGTCTCTTGTAGTAGAGCTACGTCCACATCCCGGTTGTGGAGTAATTTGGTGAGTTCAGTTATTTTCCCTCTGATCCCGTTGCAGTTAAGCTGCATAACTACTAGAGTTTTGGGGAGGTGACCAGCTGCACCTTGCCTATTGCCCCCAGTAGCACAAAAGCCTACAGTCGGCCTGAGCCCCGTCACCGATCTGCAGGGGAGGAGGGGATTCGAGTGCCCCTCAGGTTGAGTCATGTGTAATTTACTAGCCATATAAAAGAATAATAACTAGGCTTTTTTCTCTTACCTTCTCCCGGGTGAAAGTTACAAGTAACTTCCCCCCTTCACCTTGGGAGATAGACGCAAGGCGTGAGTTTTTTAGCTTCAGGTAGTCAGGTCTACCCTACTAGTCTTCTGCGCCACGTAGAGACAAAACTCTTGCAAAAGTAAAAATTACCACTAAAA